TTTTACTCTGAGAGTAGTTGGTTTACATATAGGAATTTTGATTTGTACTTTGGATCAATGATTGCCAAAGAAGGTTGTGGGTATCACAAGGTATGTGTGTATATATCCTCTGGAGTGTACAAAGAATATATAATAAATTGAATTTGTCTTATTCTCTTTAAATATTATTAACTTCAATTTTTGAATTTGCTTTAAAATGTTAGGGGGGTCACCTAAGACATCTGACTTTTGATGTGACATAATTATTTCTATAAATTCATATTTTCATTAAATAGCTCTTTCATTGAATGTTAGTTAACACATGACAAATGTCAAGAATCCAGATGAAATCAGCACCCCATAGTTTGTGAAATTTATCCTGATTGGCAGAGCTTTTAACTACACTGAAGTTCTCACATACCATTAAATCATGTGAATGAAAGCAAGGTGTAGAAGCCAAAGTGCTATAATCTGGAGGTAGAGGTCAGGTTAAGAATTATGTCCTCAGTGAGAAAACAGAGCCAAATATCATATGAGAGACAGAGTGGCTAAAAATAAGAAAATATCATTTTGTGTGTGCGCGTGTGTGTATAGGAGGTCCATATAAAAGAGTAGAAATGGTCCAATTAGAATACTCCCAAGGACCATGAGGAAGCCATGAGCATTGGTAAAGCAAGTGATCTTAGATACTTAATGGATACTCAAAATACTCAATGACCCACAAAGCAGAGGTGCAAATAACTAAAACTGACTGTAAACAAAGTTGAAATATTATTAATGTTCACTGGCTGAATGTGAGCCCATCTGAAGAGGAAGAACATCAGAAGGAAACTTAACTAAGGATGAGCATCCCAGGTAAGTGAAAGGCAAACCAGACAGTAAATCACTGCCAGGGCCAAACGGACAACATAATCTCTGGTCAAACGTATGTGAACATGACAGAGAGGGTAAAAAGGAAAAAACAAACTAACTAACAAAACCAACCAGTGACCCAGAGTCACAAGATGAAAAACTTGACACGCTTGGAGATTTTGTATTCCCCCAGTAATGCCAGCACCTACACAGTACCAATGAAAGAAGCTGCTAAAAAGTCAAGATTTAGGATGATGGTATGGGAAACATAGTAAAAGAAATAAAAGAAAGGCTATATGAGGACCTCACAACTTCATCATCATAACACATAACAAACAAACTTTACTACACTGTGAGTATTAAAGTAGAGAGACTAAACTGTAGTGTTCTTCCCAGGATTAACATCAAAGAGATAGACCAATATGGGACCTGCCTTGGGGGATTTTTGAAAAAAGAAATCCCCTTCTTGTCCTCCTCTCCCCTACCCAACTCCCACTGCCATTCTCTGAGACACGCACATGAAAAGATCCAGGCAAGACCAAAATTATTCCTGTCACCACTCTGAATGAAGGTATATACCAGTTCTTTAGTGAGGAGATATGAAAGACTGTTAAAGATACAATGTTTAAACTTCAGAGTTTCTCAGACTTATATGTTATAATTTCTCAAATAGACAGATATACAGACATGGGTTTGGGACAAAGTTCTAACTTTACTAGCTGACTAGAGATAAAACTGGTACTACCAGATGTCAAAATATATTACATGCTTAACATAATTTTTAAAACTTCCTCAACAGTCTAAGTAGATATAAAGGTAAGAAGGAAGGGGAAAATAAATTCAAAACATACCATCAAAGATCTGAATGTGCACATGATTGATTAGTACTTCTGGGTATAGAATAGAAATCAATCAATGAACTCTGAATGATCTAGAAAAATCCTTAAGGCACTGGTCTGTGTTTAACGGCCTGATTGACCACAAAAAACAGTGATTTCACTTCCTAATCCCTTCACCTTTCTCACCCAGTCTCCCAACCACCCTCCCACCTAGAACCATGTTTGCTTTCTGTATCTATGAGTCTATTTCTATTTTGTTTGTTCATTTATTCTGTTCTTTAGATTCCAAATATAAGTGAGATAATTTGGTATTTGTCTTTGTCCGACTTATTTCACATAGCATAATATCCTCTAGGTTCATCCATGTTGTTGCAAATGGTAAGATTTAATTCCTTTTTATGGCAGAGTAACACTCCATTGTATAAATATACCACCAATTCTTTATCCAGTTGTCTATTGATGTGCATTTCGGTTGTTTCCATATCTTGGTGACTGTGTATAGCACTGTAAAAAACATAGGGTGCGTATATCTTTTCAATTTAGTGTTTTGAATGTCTTTGGATAAATACAAAGGAGTGGAATTGTTGGGTCATAAAGTACTTCTATTTTTAATTTTTTGAGGAACCTCCATACTGTTTTCCATAGTGGCTGCACCAATTTGCAATCCCACTAATAGAGCACAAGGGTTCCCTTTTCTCCACATCCTCACTAACGCTTGTTGTTTGTTGATTTATTGATGATGGTCATTCTGACAGGTGTGCGATGATATCTCATTATAGTTTTATTTGCATTTATCTGATGATTAGTGAGGTTGACCATCTTTTCATATGTTTATTGACCATCTGTATGTCCACTTTGGAGAAATGTCTTTTCAGGTCCTCCACCCATTTATTTATTTATTTATTTATTTTTGGTGTTGACTTGTATGAGTCTTTTTATAAATTTTGGATATTAACTCCTTATCTGATGTATCATTGGCAAATGTCTTCTCCCATTCAGTAGGATGTCTTTTTGTTTTATTGATTATTTCCTTTGTTGTGCAAAGACTTTTTAGTTTGATGTAGTCTCATTTGTTTATTTCTTCCTTTGTTTCCCTTGTCCAAGATGATATATCAGTATAAATTGGTAGTTACAAAATAGTCACAGGGATGTGAAATATAGTATGGGGAATACAGTCAATAATACTGTAAAAACTATGTATAGTGTCAGATGAGTACTAGACTTATTGAGGGATCACTTCATAAGTTATATAAATGCCTAACCACTACACTGTACACCTGAAACTAATATAAAATAATATCAAATGTCAACTATTAAAAACATATAGTCACGAGATGTAAAGTACAGCATAGCGAATATAGTCAATGGTATCATAATAGCTATGTACAGGTGTCAGATGGTTAGTAGACTTGTTGGGGTTATCACTTTGTGAGGTGTATAAATGTCTAGTATGTGGTTTCGTATGCCTGATAATAATAATAATAATAATAATAATAATAATAATAATAATAATAAAGTAGCACATTTATGACTTATCCTTTAAGAAATGTTGTATTCTACTTTGAAATTAATTTGTAGAACTCCCTTTTATATCTTTTGACTCCCTGTACATGTAGACTCACCTAAACACAATCAAATGTGGGATGGTTAATTTTATGTGTCAACTTGACTGGCCATGGGGTGACCAGATAAAACATTATTTCTGGTTATGTCTGTGTGAGGGTGTTTCTGGATGAGATTAGTTTTTGAATCGGTGGACTCAGTAAATTAGATCAGCCTCCCAATGAGGGCAAGCATCATTGAATCCACCCAGGGTCTGAATAGTACAAAAGGCAGAGGAAGCAGGAATTTGCCCCTTTTTTCTGCCTCACTGCTTGAGCTAGGACATCACATCTCATCTTCTCCTGCCCTGGGAGTAGGATTTATACCATCAGCTCCCCTGGTACTCAGGCCTTTGGACTCAGTCTGAATCATACCACTGGCTTTCCTGGGTCTCCAGCTTACAGACAGCAGATCATGGGACTTCTCAACCTCCAAAATTACAATCAATCAATCATCAAGAATCTTCAATTGATTCTGCTTTTCTGTAGAATCCTAATACAAAGTTTGAGTTCATAAGGAATCATTTTAGTTTGCTTCCAGCAGAGTTTGTGTCTCTAAACTCTGCGACTCTACATATTCCTGTGTTTAAAGAGTAGACTGAAAACAATGATAACACAAGAATTATAAGAATAAAGAAGCAAGGCTTGCTTTACTACAGTTCTATGTGCAAATCTTTCTCTGAACCTTGTGGAGTCTACATTCAAAGTGCTTCTTTTTTGTGCCTTTAAAATAAATACTTTCATGGAATTAAAAATTATTAATCCATTACTTTTCTCCCTTTTTTGTACTGCAATAATTACTGCCTAAATACACACATAAAATTTAATAAAGACAATATTTTATGTTTTAAAAAAAAACCCAGTGATTTTAGAGGTCTCTATTGCCTTAGGTCCACTAAATAATTTTCTCCTACTTGCAAGGAAGCTTGAAAATAATTTTGAATGGGCAATACTAGAGCATACTCATTTAAAGAAAAGGTAAAGAGAAAAGAGAATAAATAAACAAAGGGATTACTTCTGTCAAAGGAGAAATAAGGTGGGCAATGAAAATGGAGAAGACATACAAAATGATGAATAAATACAGAGCACCAAAGAAGCATATTGTGGTTGGGCAAAATGTTTAAAAATTCAAGAAAAGAGATGTAGTTCTATACTGCCCCAGTATGTAGGCCTTATTACAGCTATTACATATAACGAATGAATGTGTTGTACGGTAGGAGATTGGGGGGAGGGGTATTGGTGAGTGTGTTAGGGACACCATTTCTGTTATTGGATAGTTTGATACTTTGGGGCCTCTTGAGGTTTATTCTAAGGTAATAGTTTAACTTTTTAAAGCTGTCAGTGCCGCCCCATCTAATGAAGGCAGCCAGACACAGATACTGGTGTCTGTGTCCCCTGGACTCAGAAAACAACACAATGACCTTACTAAAAGGATGAACTTAGGGATCAGATATTTGCACACAATGGTTACCTATTGAAGAGGATAGTTTACAAAGATTTCTTGAGAGTCAGGCTGTTGGCTGGCATATACAAGTCTTCCATAAGTAGACATCATTATACCCATTTGTATAATTTCTTTATAGAAGTTTAGCTTAATGAATTCTTTCCTAACACTAGCATCTGATGTTTTTAACTTAAAATGTTATGGTTACTGAGCTAGAATCAAAAGAAATTGTACTCCATATGCTCAACTTAACCATGTTTTAACATGAAATGGGAAGAGCCTTACCCAATGTCACGTGGATCAAGGAGGGTCTGGCCCTGTGGTCCGGTTGTTTTGATTCTCACTCTAGCTGCTTGTTCAGCAGAGCCTTCTCCCTGCTCGACACTTCTGTGGTCACACTGCTTTTCTGGGGCTCAACTGGCTTCACATGCAGGTTCCTCAGGTTGTGTGCATCTCTGATATTAACTTAGCCTGTCAAAAAGGAGACAGGGAATCAAACCAATTAAATGGAAATGCCATGAGGAAACTTCCCTGACAAAACTTTAGCAGGCATGTCATCCCGAAACACAGGAAGGAGATGAAATTTCATCTGTGATGTATTGTAGATGTCATGTTTATTTTCCTTTTTTTTATTATTTGAAATGCTCTCTGTCACACAGTTGTTATTTGGTTCATGCTGAAATCATCTCTCTCAGGAAAAGTTTGATGTGGCGACAGGGAAGCAGGGAAATAACAATTGCCTTGTGTCTCCTATAGGCCAAATTGAATGTAGCTACTTTTTTTAATGCTTCCTTTTTTAGTTCTCATGTCAGTCCTAATGTGGGACTTTTAATTCTAGACACGTACAAATTTGTAAACAGAACTACAATAACACTCTACATGCTGTTTCATAGTCTGCTAATACAAAAATCGTTTCATGGCTTTGTTTGCTCACCTCATAAAAATAGTTGCCTGAAAAAAATTGAAAATCTAGCTGGCGCCATCTTGTGACGAGTACCGGAACTGCATCCTGTTACTACCAGATCCTTCTTATGGGAGAAGGGTGGGAACTACATCTTGCCAAGCCTGCAGTTTTCTCAGGCTTCTAGAATATACCGTGCTCTAATTTAGAGTTTTGTTATGCATTACACAAAAACTGGAATGCTAATATCTTTACTTCCAATGGTCTGATCAAAAGAAAACTGCCTGCTTAATGAAAATTGAAAAGATGAAGATTTATAAAAAGGAAGGATAATTCTGGAATAATCAATATTATTGTTTCCTGAATATCCTGCTATATTTTTTTCTTTACATATATACATGAATATATACAATTTCAGACCAGCATTTTACTGTGCTCAAGCCCATGGTCTGAAAGTTTTTCCATATCAATAAGTATTTTCAATGTGATTTTTAAATGAATCACTTCAAACGTAATGTTCCCCCTAATTTGTAACATTTTATCTCAAATGTTTTTTCTGATATTCTTAACAAATGACTAGATATGTATTAATAATCATTTTAAATAGATAGTAAAGAGTGTCCTCTCTAACCACTCAAATAACCCCATTAGTAGGAAGCCTTATATATTTTTTTGATTTTGTAACAGATAATGTATTAACAAGGTCCTTTATCTTTAAACGACATAATGTGGTGCTTGCCATTCTGCAATTTTCAGTTTTCACCTAAAACTACTTCTCAGACATGTTTTCAAATCACTATATATTCATACTTCCATTTGTCAGCTATATAACATTCAATTGTATGGATGCACCATGCCACTTAATATTTTAAAAACTGCTAATAGAAATAAACCACCTCCTCTCTCTATCTCACTCTTAAACTTAAAAGATATAGGAAAATATTTCTTGCTGAGGATGGCCATACCTGTGGTCAGAAAAAATGAGTTGCAAGGAGGACACATGCAGGGCTGTAGCTAACACAGCAACCAGGCTATGTGCTTGATCCTGTCCAGGAAAATTTCCACTATTGGCAAAATACAAGGGGGGAATGTTTGCATTTCTGTGTGTGTGAGTGTTTATGTGTCTCAAACCAAATGGGTATGCTGTTTCAGCTTCATGTTGCTCTTCTAATTATACAAATGATCATGAAATAAAGCAACTTTTAAAATGCTAAAACTGGTTAAAAATATATTTTGAAACCCCCAGTAATCTCAACACTCCAGACATGCTTGCTGACTGTTAACAGGGGAGCCTAGTTCCCTCCTTAAGGAAAAGGCATATATTTTTTTTTGACAAATGTTATCACTCAACAGCATATCTGGATCCCTTCCACATTCCTGTACATTATATTTGTGTTTGTATGTCTCAATCACTTTTTATGTTTACATTTTCTATCAGTTATTTTTTGTGTAGAATAATAAATGTTTAAATTAAAATATAACAAACTCTGTAATGAAGATAGAAACATGGAATGCCACGTAAAAAATTAACATGAACAGCATGCCTCACTGAAGTCTTAATTTAGAAGCTGTAATCTGATCGCCCATTCCCACACTGTGGACTTCAAAAAATATCGGGAGAAACTAAATTTTCAGGGGGTTGACTCTGTCACAATAATAACAATTTTCCCCAAACCGTATTTCATCTCCCTATCTCTTGCAGGCAACAATCTCTCTCTTTTTTTTTTTTCACCGTAACACCAAAGCCCGAAGAAATTCCCAGAAAATAAGTAGCTTTAAGACAGCCATTACCTTGAAGCTTCTTGTCAGCTGCAGCCTCCTGAAATGCAGCCCCTCCCCCAAGTCTGGCCAGGCACAGCTCACTTCCAAGCTTCTCAGAGAATGCTCCGCCCCCCTCCCGGTGATGGGGAAAGCAGGGGGCCTTTCCCTCAATTAGAGGGAGGAGAATCACCAAGTTAACTGAAATTCACTTAAAGGGGAAAAACGTTCATTTTAAAGGTCTTGAAAGCGAATTCAACATAATGTGTCTCTTTAATTTCCATTCAAAACACAGGGGTAGGTGATTTCTTGAAAAGAAGTAGCAAATCCTTTTATTATATAAAGACCCAGTAAAAAATATCTCTTAAATATTTTCTTGCCTTTTCTGGCAACTTATTTTTACAAAACATGTTAAGAAACAGCTGGACAATTCCATTAAAAAGACCCACTAGTTCCTTGTTTGTGATTGCAGTGAATACATACATTATTTTGTGGAGAATTAAATCTCTACAATTTTAATCCTTCTGGCCCTAGGACATAATATGTCTTTTTACTCAGGTTGTCTCATTCATCCTTCAGAACATTTCATAGTTTTTTCAAGTAAAGCCATTTCTAAACATAAAACAGCAATCAAAATCCTTAAAGAAAGAGGTATTTGAATATAATGAAATTGAAAAAAAAAACCTATGGTACAACACAACAAATGAAATTTAAAAACAGAAGTACTTGACAGAAACTTTTTAATTAAAAAAATCTCTAATCTAAAGATATTAATTAACTCTTTACAAATTAGTAAGAAATAAACAGCAAAATTAAAAAATGAGCGAAGAACATAAATAAGCAATTCACAATGTTCTGAGGGCATAGTTCTTCCCTGCTCCTGATATTTACTTCCCTGTGATCAATGAACTCATGTAGTACAACTACAAGTGTTTCTGTCCTTGTACGGTTGGAAGCCTCTAGGCTGTTTGGTAGATTTGTTTAAATTTGGTGTTATAAGGCCCAATTAACTCTCAACAATAATCATTGTCCTTCGACTTAGCATCCCCTTGTGCAAAAGCTGACATCTTGTCTTCCATCTGCAACTTCACTTGTTTTATATCAATTTGTTCAACTTGTTCAGTGGAGAAAGGGAGGTGCTATTCATAGGGGCTCCTCAAAACCCAAACATTCAAAATAAAGATTAAAACTGAACAATACATAAAAGATACTCGCCTTCCCTAATAATCAAACAGATGTAAACATAAACAACGAGATTTCATTTTTCTACCTAATTTGTCTTACAAAAAAGCAATAAAATGATACAATAGACAGTTGGCAAAGGAATGAAATGGTCACTCTTGCGCATGAGCAAGATCACAAAGTGGAGAAAAGGGCAAGACAAAATCAAAGCCAAAGTCTATCAGATTCCCAAACAGAAAATACATGTTCTCTTCCCTCCAGTACTCTCTGCCTTCTGGGCTTGGAATCCTGCCTTTTTGGTAGAACCAAAGGTGACATCATTCACTTTCAGCTTGTGAGGGAATTGGTGAATGTACCCCAGAGTGAGTACTGCGTAGCCTCACATCCCTGCTGATGAACACATTGGTGAACTGCAACGATCTTCAGTAACTACCATACTCATCTATGAACACTCTGTCTTTCACATACATCCACATTCCCACACAAATTTTAAAAATATATATTTTCAACTTGACAACATTTATCCATAAAGATATTTGTGCTCCGATGTTCATTGCAGCTTTATTAACGGTGGCCAAGACATGGAAACAACCAAAGTGTCCTTCAATAGATGATGCGATAAAGAAGATGAGGTACATATACACAATGAAATACTCTTCTGCCATAAGAAAAGATGAAATAGTGCCATTTGCAACAACATGGATGGAGCTTGAGATTATTATGCTAAGCGAAATAATTCAGACAGAAAAAGTTGAGTACCATATGATTTCACTCATTTGTGGGATATAAAACTGAAAACAACAAAGGGACAAGACAAACAAATAAAAAAACAAAAACTCATAGACACAGACAATAGTTTAGTGGTTACCAGAGGGTAAGGGGGTAGGAGGATGGTAGATGAGGGTAAATGGGATCAACTATATGGTGATGGAAGGAGAACTGACTCTGGGTGGTGAACACACAATGTGATACATAGATGATGCATTATAGAATTGTATACTTGAAACCTATGTAATTTTACTAACCATTGTCACCCCAATACATTTTTATTAAAAAAGAATATATACATATATTTTTTTCTCTGTACTATGCTTTTGCACTGACCATGTCTGCATGATTGCATTCACTTTTCTATAGAGTAGTTATGACATATCTCTTTGTGTTGTAGCATATGTCAGTAACTTCCCTTTCAGATATGGCTATTTCTAGACAAGGGTGATAATCATTTGTTACACAGAGAAATGCCCATTTCATTTCATCTCATTTAGAACTGGCAACACGTTGTCCTTGTGTTTTTGTTGTTTACAGTTGCTAATTCAATATGAGAAACCATATTTCCATTTTATTTTTTGAGCATTTTTGTTCACAAAATATTCAAGAAATTAAAAATTAAAATTTATAGTTTTGTTGCTTTAAACTTATATAGAAGTGTTTCCCAGGAAGTGCTAAAACCTATGCAAAGCCAATGGATCATTCTCAGGGTTAGTTCTCTTGAGATAATATTATGCTAAGTTTAAAAAAAGAAAATTATGGGCCGGCTGAGTCATGCGATGGTTAAGAACTGGCTTGGGATGCCAGAGGGCCCCGGTTCAGATCCCACATAGGAGGGCCAGTGACACTGCCCTCCACAGCTAAGATGCTGAACAACAGCTCAACCTGGAGCTGGGCTGCCGTGAGTCGCCGGCGACGGCGTAGGCTGCAGCCCCTGTGGCAGTGGGTTGCCATGAGCTACCGTATGTAGCCAGCAGCCAGCATGAGCGGCCAGCAGCCGCAGTGAGTGGCTGTCCAAAAGCCAGCGACTGATCTGCCTCACCCAGGAAGAGCACAATGATGGTGCCAACTTGGGCCAGTGAAGCAACGTCCTCCACAACTAGACTGAAGAACAAAACAACAGCAACTTGTCTGTTCCCCTTCCCCCAATTCCCCAGCACTTTTCCCATCCCCCCAATTCCCCAATTAAAAAAAAAATTATAAAATTTAAGTAAAGTTAGTGAGGCCCCTACAACCCAATCCATTATCAAAGTGAATAGGTAAACACAACTTCTATGTCCTGCCACTCTCTGACTATTCAGGTGAGAGAAACAGATCAGCAGTATGACACAGCTCTTCCTGTAATTAACAAATGAAGAGAAAGAATACTTCTGCATTGGGGACTCTAAAGAAAGAAGCCATTGTTCTTCCAGAGACACATGGTATACGTGTCAACCTGTGTCAAGATAATTCTGGTAACCAACCTGAATGAAGGACATCAAGGGTTCTTAGATAAGGAGATAGGGATTTCTGTTGACAGGACCCATAGTCTAGCCTTTAAGAGTTTGTCATGGAGATATTATGACAGAGATACAGTTTTACAGGGTTTAGATAGGCAGACAGACAGTTCTGGGTTTGAGGCCTTTATTATCTCAATGGAGAGAAAACTTTCAAATCCTTGACAACTATGCTAACTTGTCATCTCCTCATACTAGATAGCATAGTTAAGAAAGATGCATGAGTCACATGCATTTCTGACACTAACTTAGATTGTCTAAATATTAAACCATATTTAATGATACAATTATAAAAAAGAGTTTAGTAACTGTCTAAGTGTGTAGTAAGAGGCAGAAGAGACAGGAAGGATAGGAAAAAGGGGAAATGTCCTAATTTAATCACAGAGATATGAATTTGAACATGCTCAGTTAGTATATCCAGGTATAGACAAGAAATCAATCAATAGATATAAAATATGGTGGCAAACTCCTTAGGTCACTGATCCAGTTTTAGCTGCCTGGTTTTCCAGAAAAACAGTGGTTTTGAAAGCCTATGACCCTATCCCATCAGGGCTAGTAAATGGTTCTCACCAGCTGTAGCCTCTTCTTATCCTTCAGAAACTTCACAAAATAGCTTGAATAAAATGTTTTCAATGAATAACAACTGGATTAGAGTAAAACTTGACAAAAAAGAAAAGGGATCAGATAAGAAGTTTACTTTGCTAAGCAGAAAGAGCATGGATAATGAGAATGGAGACAAGATACAAATCACAATAAATAGTGGGTATCAGATAGAGAAGGTCAGAAACATGGAACATATTTTGAGGAGGGGAACAAAAGCAGAACATAATTATGATGATAGCACAACCAAATATCCTCTCTTTACCATTTCTGTTGTACTATAAGAAGGGAATGTATGTGGGAGGGGCTTTGGCCATGTGTTCCTGGATAATTTGGGCCTTCTGGACCCCTCTGGTTTATCATGAGGGAATGCTGGGCTTTGATGTTCCTAAGCTGCTGTTGCTTTCCAAAGCCACCAGAGATCTCATGGACACAGATAATGGGCTTCAGTACACATATCCTCATTAAGAGCATGACTTTAAGAGTCAGAGATTTGTGACTGTTGTTGGGAAAGAACTAAAAGGGTTAAACCACTACCAAATATTATTCAAGAGGGTACACAGATGTCTATTCAAGGAAGGTCGTAAGACCTTAAGCAGGTCTTAAGAAATCTTTGTAACTATGCTATCAGGTATGTGGTGATAACAATCTATTGTAGCCTAGCTGTCAAGGATTGGAGAGAGTCAGGCTACTCACTGGAACCTCAGTTAAACATTTAAATAGCTTCTTGAACGATTTATTCATAGTGGTTTAACACATGAAAATTTTCCCCAAGCTAGAAGCTATGACTTTTAATTACAAAACATTATGGCAGCAGAATAGGAAGCAAAATAATCTATACCTCAACTTATTATCTTAACATGATTTTAATGTGAAATATGGCTTTTAATTTAAAGTGATATGGCTGCAGAGCAGGAAGCAAAATGAAATATGCCTCAAGTTCTCAGCATGTTTTTAACGTGAAATATTTCGTGAAATGGGAAGAGCCTTACCCAATGTCACGTGGATCAAGGAGGGTCTGGCCCTGTGGTCCGGTTGTTTTGATTCTCACTCTAGCTGCTTGTTCAGCAGAGCCTTCTCCCTGCTCGACACTTCTGTGGTCACACTGCTTTTCTGGGGCTCAACTGGCTTCACATGCAGGTTCCTCAGGTTGTGTGCATCTCTGATATTAACTTAGCCTGTCAAAAAGGAGACAGGGAATCAAACCAATTAAATGGAAATGCCATGAGGAAACATCCCTGACAAAACTTTAGCAGACATGTCATCCTGAAACACAGAAAGGAGATGAAATCTCATCTGTGACATAGATGCCATGTTTATCTTCCTTTTAGTTTTTATTATTTGAAATGCTCTCTGTCACATAGTTGTTGTGTGGTTCATGCTAAAATCATCCTTCTCATGAAAAATGTGATGTGGGATTGGAAAGAAGGGAATAACAATTGCCCTGTGTCTTCTACAAGCTAAATCTGTGCAGCTACTTAAATATATTTTCTGTTTGAATTCTCACATCAGTCCTTATGTGAGTTTTTTTTTGGTTATACATTACGATTTTTTAAACGAAATGCAATCACACTCCAATACTGTCTCGTAATCTGCTAATACAAAATACGTTTTATTGCTTTGTTTGCTCACTTCATAAAAATGGTCGCCTAGAGAAAATTTAAGACACCTGGCAAGTGCCATCTTGTGACTAGAACTAGAACTGCAGACACCTAGGTCCTTCGTGGGGAACGCTACTACAGCCATCCAGAAAGAAGCCTTCTCAAAGGCTTCCAAATTTTTTTCACTCTCAATTTAAGAGGGTGTGTGTGTGTGTGTGTGTGTGTGTGTGTGTGTGTGTGTGTGTGAGAGTTAAATAAAAATGGGATCATAATTCCTCATTTTGAAGTTTGTTATTACAATATATCTCATGCATATTGTATATCTTTCTTCATCTTTTGATTTTTCTAAGAAGAAAGCAATTCCCCCAATAATGATAAAAATATACTGGTTTGCTCAATATATTTCTAGATTTTTCATATAGATATTTATAAATGTGTATGATTTTTGAAACCAGACCTTTATACCTCCCAATAATATATTTTAACATCTTTCCACATCAATAAATACTTTCTACATCATCTTTTTGTGACTTTTACAAGGTTTTTCTATATTTCTAAAATTTATTTCATTTTCTCATCATGAAAATTATTCAAGCTTACTCTTTTCAAAATAAGATTTTAAAAATGGAGAAATGTGATATATTGAAAGGTGAAATGTTGTCTCTCCAACTATATTTATATCTCCAATTAATAAAGTAACGTATATTTCCAGATTTTTCTTGCACATAGTGCACTAATATGATACAGGTCATTCTTCAACTTGCTTATTTTTAGAATATACCTTATATATATATATATTATTATCATGGAATTCGGCTCATTGCATTAGCTTATTCTTTTGATAGCTTCACAGTATTCAACTTTATGCATATACTACCCTATATGACTATTCCATAATATGTTTTAGACATGTTTGCATTCTTTCTTAAAAGTACATAAAAATACAAATATATATCTTCTGCTTGAACCAAAGTCTGGACTATAGTCTAAACACTTCAATTGCAAGAAACTCACAAGCAACCAGGTAACTAGCCTTCTCAGATGCAAAGAAAAATCCACTTTCGGCTATAGACAAAGTATGTGATAATCCATTTAAATGTCTGTAACAAAAGAGACTGTTCTCTTTCAGGATCATTTTTGTTTCCAAAAACATCTAAACGTACATAAAATCTAAAGAAGAAAATACACACCATCAATACTCCAAGCCTGAAGTTGTTCACAGCTTACATTTGAGTCTAATCCCTTTGATTTTTCCCATACTATATATATGAATGTAGTATTTGAAATTACATTTATTCACCCACATATTTGAACATCTTTCCATGTTTATATGTTTACACATTTTGGGAAAGGTAGTTTTTTCTCCACATTTTTAAATTGTCATCTCAATCATTTTTATGCTGACATAGGTACTACATGCTAAGTGAAATGTGGAAGAAAGAAGTGGAAAATTTCCTCTCTTTTTTCCTTAGACATCCTTTATTACTAGATATATTATTTGTTTTGTTTTATTATATTAATATATATTTATTATTCTTTAGATTATTATTTTCATATATTTTTCATATTACAGTACAAATAGGAATATATCATTCTTTTCATAGAGATGTAGCAGACAAAGGGTGTCCTTTACACATCCATAAAACAACAATTATTTTAAGACATTGAGTATCCCCTGACAAATAACCAAACTTCTAATTCTCAGAAGTACTTAAATCTGTAGTTATACATTACTTCAGATTACCACTATACAAACTGCTAAAACAGTAAGGTTTGTTAGAAACACAATCAACACAATCTAAGTAAAATAGAAAGCCAACACTCCCAACTAACAACTTCAGTTTTCATTTGGGATCATCACAATCCATTTTTTCAAAATATGGAAGATTAATTTCTCAAGTTTTGTTTCATCATTTATCTCTGTCACCACGGCTTTTTGATTGAAACATAAAATGCTCTATTCAAAAGTTAGCTTTTGCAACCCCATGAAGTATTTTTTCCACAGGTGTAATCTGATCATAACCTCCCCGAGTTCTAAAATATGGATTTTTAAAAATATCTGGAGGAATACAAAATCCAGGTATTAATTCCCTCACAGAAACGACTCTCACAAAACGACACTCCTTTCCCACTACTCCAAAGCTGCAGTCACTTCTTTTCTCACCTTTCCTCCAAAGTCTCCAGAAATCTCTGAAAATAACTAGATTTTAACAGCCATTACCTACAAGCATCTGCTCTTCAGCGGAAGCCTCAGAAGTCTGTATGAAATGCAGCACCTCCCCCAAGACTGGCCAGGCACCGCTCACTTCCAAGCTTCCAGAGGATGCTCCGCCCCCTCCCTGTGATGGAGAAAGCAGGCGGTCCTTCCCTCATTTAGAAGGAGGAGAATCACCAAGTTAAATTGAAACAGAGTTAAATGGAAACAAGTTTTCATTTTAAAGAACTTTAAAGTGCAATGGCAACATATGTCTGTTCCATTTCCTTTCAAACACCTAGGGTGGGTGACTTCCTTGGGGGTGGGGGGTAGGGAAGTAAAGAAAAGAAGTAGCAAACCCCTTTTCATATAATAAAGATGCAGTTAAAATATTCCTTACATAGTTTTTCAGGCCTTCTATCATAGTTAATCTCTGGTCAATTTAAGATCTGCTACTCAAGCTCCACTGAAAAACCATGCTAAGTGTCTTGATTGGGCTTATAGTGAATTAATACTTATTTTAGGCAGGATTAATTCTTTGCAATTTTGAATGTGAATCTGGGACATAATATGTCTCTTCTTTCAATCAGGCCTTCTAATACTTCCTTCCTTAGTCATTTCTAAAGAAAAATCATCAAACAAAATCTGAGTATACTGAAATTGAAAAAAATACATGTATCAGTAGTAAAATCACAATAAGCCAAGTTTTAAAAAAACCCCACAAACTTAGGAATGCATTCTAATGCATGTGATTGCATAACAAAAATATCCCTAAACTAATTCTTATATATAACTTAGAAATGAGCAACAATGTCAGAGAACTGGGGAAAAGGCACAAGCAGACAATTCACAATGTTCTTTCTTAATCCTGATATTTATTTCTCTGTGAAGAAAGGCAAGTAGTGCAAGTTGAAGGCTCTCTCTGCTTCTGCTAGACTAGACAGACCTTTAGGCTGATGGATAGCTTGCTTAAATCTGGGGTTCTATTAGTTCTATTTTACTTTCATAATGAGCTATATTCTGCTATTCACTTTCCACTCTTAATAAAGCTGACATTTTGCTTTCAGCTGCTATCCTATTTTATTGTAATTTGTTCATTATTTTCAAGATGTGAAAATTGTAAACTTTTATGTACCCACTAATTCAGTTCAGAATGTTTAATAAAGCAAAAATGAATAGAAGTACATTACTGGGCAGGCAAGAACATTTTGTTTCACTGTTAACAAAATTGGGAGAAAATGCTGGTCAGCTTGTCCTGAGGCTCTTTTAACATACAAAGCATTTTGATCTCTCCTAGGTTAAAGTCTATTCATTTGGATCTTGTAGTGTCTGATATGATTTATAAGAGAACATTCTGTTAAGGTCTCTGTAATAATTTCAAAAACCAAAGCATCTCAATGCAGACATATATAAAAACAGTTTCTGTTCATGAGAAACTGCAAAATTGTGGAATGAATTCTACTGTTTATCAAGGACATAACACTAAGAAGCATTGTTCACTGAAACATAACAACATTGAGAACAGAGAACTGATAAACTTTGCTCTTTAAAATCGTAAAACCTTGAGAAACTGCTATTTCAAACAAAAAAGGTTCTACTCTGAGGGTTGCTGTTTTATTGTTGTTGACATTATTTTAATTTTCTTTAAGTATTAAAAATATTTTAAAAGAAGCCAGTGGAATATAAAAAATGAACATAGCAAAATATAAAATATGAATATACCAAATGCTGGTGAGGATGAGGAGCAACTACAGGGTTTATACACTGCTGAAGTGTAAATTAGAACTAATACTTTGCGAAATGTTTGGCATTATCCTCTAAAATTGGACTTTATAAGGTAAACATAGAACATCTAGGGCTCTCAGTAGTAGAGTGTCATATCTAAATTGGCTGTAGAGAAATTATCTCCTCAGAGAATGATGCATACTCTAGAGCACATTTAAACTATTCAGTAGGGCATAGGAAGTAAATATTTAAAATTAAAATTTTTCACCTTGATCTATTGTATAAACGTCTATTTTTAAATTTTTAAATGCTCATAATAAATTATTTGTACTGTAGTACATTATATACTTTAAAAATATGAGCATTGTGGGGTGTCCACAATTTTTTACAGTAATGATAATAAAAAAATATGTGAGATTTCTGCTTTATGGGACTCACAGCCCCCATAACCTTTCCACTTGTCTTCTCTTTGATTTACATACTTTAAGACTATAATCCCAAAAATATTAATCTGAATTTTCTAGATTGTCTACATATTGAGTTCGCTGCTCAGGAAAGTTACCATTACTCCCATTAAATGTTTAAGATAATAGTGAGAAATTGAATTGTATTAATAGTAAGCTAAATTTTTACCAAAGGATTGGTTCTTGCCAACTTCAGACAATGCTACAAAATATGTGACCCTACAGTTATTCCATTTGGACTATATTTTAATATGTTTTCTCTGTAATATTATAAAGGCAAATATTAGTGTCAAAATGATTATGCTTTTCTTTAATATGAGCCTAAATTTAATTTCTAAGTTGTCTCATTGATTTGAGAACTTAAAAATAATGAGTGAATATTTTTTGATACCTGGAAAATTCCTAAGAAAATCAGAATCCATAAACATAGAGCATCAAACATATCAAATTACAATGCAATGATTATTTTTTAGAGAAACACATTGTATTAATTTTACTCTCAAACTTTATTGAACAAAATAAAATCTTCTGAGTTGCTTATTAAAAATGCAGATTCCTTGGACCCACAATTAGACATTCGGGTGTAGCACATCATTGTTGGAATACAAGAATCTTTATTTATATAGTTGACCCTTGAACAACATGGGGATTATGAGTTTTATTTAGAGTCTTACATATAAAAATATTTACTTTTTATAAAGTTCAAATTAAATGGTAAAATCAGTGTGGTATAATATATGAATCGCCTTATAATATGTTGAACGTTTAATTATATTTTATACCTTATGTTTAAACCTTTCTATAATATGTATTTCTTCATGTGTATCTGGGTCCATATGTTTAAATATGTACATATAATGGTACACTAATTTAAATTAAAAAAAACCTAAGAAACATAGAAAGGAGGGGGTTAAATAACTAAAATGAAAAAATGATCTTTGAGATGCTGAACAACAGCTCAATCTGGAGCTGGCCTGCCGTGAGTCTCCGGCGATGGCGTAGGCTGCAGCCCCTATGGCAGTGGGTTGCCATGGGCTACCGTGTGTAGCCAGCAGCCGCAGTGAGCAGCCGACCAGAAGCCGGCGACTGATCTGCCTCACCCGGGAAGAGCGCAATGATGGTGCCAACTTGGGCCAGTGAAGCAACGTGCTCCACAACTAGACTGAAGAACGAAACAACAGCAACTTGTCTGTTCCCCTTCCCCCAATTCCCCAGCACTGTTCCCATCCCCCCAATTCCCCAATAAAAATCTTAAAAAAAATGATCTTTGAATATACAGTCTGATCTCACAATGAGATTATATAGACTTATTATTTATTTTTCATATATGCTATCCAGATCGCAAAAAATGTAATATTTCCATTTCAAAATAGTTAACCTTTATTTTTCTATACCACCTCTTATCATAATCACAAATTCCTGATTTCAGGAAAAGCTTAAATTTTTACTTATTTTGTGCTTCTTTCTGCTATGTTTATTTTAAATGTTGTATTGTCACTCTGGTTCATGAGGTAGCCAAGAATAAAACTGTTCTTTGTACTTAGGTACCTATGTTCTAATTTTAATTGGGCAACCACTTTCCCCTAATAGCCCCTTTTGTTATTTTCTTCCCCCAAATCTACCCTAAATTTAGAATAATAAAACTGTCACGGTATCTCTTACACCCAAATCATCTTTGGCAGTTTCCAGATGGCTAAAAGTAATAAGAAAGGCTTATTCCCTCACCTTATAGAAGGAGAGATGAAAAGTAGACTTAATTTAAGTGTATTTGGTTTTCTCTTTATTTTCTAATTGTATGCACAATGTTAGAAGAAATATATTTTTCCCTCCAGATACACATTATAGAAAAACTGTCAAATCAAAAAAAGAAAATCAACTCCTAGGTTAATTTTGTATAGCTAAAGTGTTACTGATATAAATATGTTTCAGTAACTATCTTTTCAGCATATATAGAATCATGCTCTTATTCATGTGCATGGGCTGACACAATAACATTTTACAAATTGATGTATAAGATTTCATTCCTAAGTTATTATCCCTTGGTTATTAGTGATGATTGTGATCCACACTTTATAGGAGAGCCCTAGGGATTTGTCCATCACAACCCTTAAAATATTCTTACACTCACTTTTGACAAATGTTGCCTAACTCTGTACGAAAAGGTCATGGTTAGGTTCATATATTTATGTTTTTTTACCTAATAGGGGAATTCATGATATATTCAATCACTCTAATAAAATTAACCTAAGCCTGTCAGTCTTGTATCTCCCTCTCACACACATGTGAACTTATGGGCCCCTGTCACAAGCTACATGGGAATGATTGGGTATAATATTGGGTTCTCGGAAAAGTCATGATGCATTTTTGCAACAAAAAACAGAAAAAATACATCATGATTTTTCCAACAACCCAATAGAAGTGAGATCTAAGAAAGTTAGCCTTAAAGCCACAATTAAATGGATTGTATAACGATTGGAGATTAAAAATTTCTGGGACTCTACCAGTCCAGCAACAGAGGACTTCAAGAGGCAGACTGCTGATCCAAGACAAATGAATAAGAATTAGTTACATGTGACTAAGGGAGGACTGAGTGAAAGTAATGAGAAAAATCTAATTGTGATTATTTGCATTAGGATGTTTTAGTATTGCGCTTGGTAGTCTCTATTCAGAAAGTCACTCCATGAAGTTTTTCTCTTTCTTCTTTGTCTTCTCTTGTTTTTCTTCCTCCTTTTTAATGATAATCCTCAAAATCATGGGGTAGCAGAAATATCTCATTCCTTAAGTATAATAGTATGAAATTCAAGTGATCCCTCCAAAAATTCCATGGAAAGAATATTATGGTGTAGCTCATGTCATCGG